TAATATTAAAAATAAACTCAAAAGTAGCTGACGGAGTCTAAACGAAAGTTGTAGATCGTAGTCTCACCTTCGCGTGGATATAAAGAACGTCGAAAATGGAGTTCGTATGAGAAAGATATGAATTTTTGAACTTTGCTAATTAATTAAAATATAAATTTAATTAAAACCCGGTATTATCCGAAGAACGAGTTAGCGGTCCGATCCCTCGTACGCCCAGCGTACTCGGATGCTAGGCTCCGGTTCGTCCACATCGCTCCAATGTTTCGACCGAGGATGCGCTCATGCATGACGCATGAGTACGCAGCGCGTACTCTAGTACGCCCCGCGTAACGCAACCTCTCAGACCCCTATAAAAAGGATGCGAGGGTGCCGGCCAAAATTGCTAATTTCCTTCCTTTCTCACACCGAAGCTTTGCGTTTCAACCCTCGGAGTCATCCCAAAGGCCTGATTTTCATTCCAAGGTGGGAAGAAAGTTTTACACTCCCTTAAACGTTTTTACATGATTAAAGCTCGTTATCAAACTGTCTTACACACTGTAAGCTTCCTTTCAAACTCGGTTACAAAGGTGTTTTCAAACAGTGGTTTTCCGTGTACTTAAACTGTCTTATCAAACAAAATACTTTCAATCATTTTATAAACTGACATCAAGTCACAAATTCTTTATTAGACTTTTCAACGGTTTTACAAAACTTCTTTATGCTTTTATATTATAAATTGCATGCCTCTATATGTATAGTTATATAAGAAATGTTTAAAAGACTTAGGAAGGCTATCCACCCTATTTCCTTTTCCTCGATTTGGATGTGGTCTGGTGGGATATCGGGTACACCTCCGAAGGTCGTTTAAATATTAGTTATATATCATGTATACATATATGGTCATAAATGTTCCATCAGTTAATTTAGTTCCGATACTCTTGGGTAGCAAGGGTGTATAAACCTACTTGGACACTCATCAATTACATTCTAGTAAACTATTATACGAATAGTTTAGAGTAAACAAAACATTATCCCTACTACAAGAAATTACACCGGAGTCAGTTCATTCATGAGTCTAGACTACATGCTATATGAAAGAATACTCTTACATGAATACTTATACATGAATACTTTTACATAGACATTATATGGCAAATTACTATTACATGTTAGATGTCTAGATACTGTTATACAGTTCGCCTTTCTATCTTTACCTTGTGATACAATCACATCATCGACGAGATAGATTGGACTTTATATCCTAGTACTAAGGGATACTTTGAGGGACTAACCATTCCGAGAACCACTGTTAGCTACAGAGGTAAATGAACAATCTACGGATGTTTTAGGTTGATACCATCGCAGGTATACATAAGGGACTAACTATTCCTAAACCCGGCTGTTAGCAACAGAGGTAAATGAACAATCTACGGATGTTTTAGGTTGATACCATTTCAGGTATACTTAAAGGGCTAACTAATAATAGTTAAACAGGGAAAAACCATCACATTTTCAAGTGATGCATACTTTCAAAACATTCGAGTCTTGGTAGAAGACTACTTTTATACTAGGAGGAAATAAGGGATTTTCTAGAGTTTTTCATACTTATACTAAATGTTTCATCAATCATTCACCAGTCTTTCATAACAACTAATCAAAGCAATGACATTAAATACTTATGAACTCACCAGTTTAAATGCTGACCTACACTTTCAAAATAACTTGTATTCTTAGGTCACCGGCAGACAGGTACGATGACCAGATTTTAGAGAAGACGAAGTAGTCAAGCTCGTCTTTCATTTTGATTTGTTATCATGTTGTCTTGTACTATGAAAGAACACACTTGTAATCAAAATTATACTATTAATGCAATGGATGATGTTGTTGCTTATTTACTACTTTACATTTGTTGTGATACATTACATGACGTCCTCCGCCCCAGAACATTTCCGTCGTTCTCGGTTTTGGGGTGTGACATTGGTGGATTGATTTTGTTCTTTCCACCTTAGTATAAACTTGGGGATATTGCTAGGCCCTAAGTATAAAAATGGCAATGGTTCAACACTAGAGTTAGCCCTAATGAAATAAAGAATGAAATGTGAAAAAAAAAAACATCTTGAATTACGCTATGACTAATGAAATTTTATGATATAGAATGAAATATGGAATTATATCTTTTCAAATGAAATAATAATATATGAAATGATATTTATGATATGTGTGAAAAGTGTTTTCCTTGAAAATGCTTGAAAAGATATGTTTTGCAAAAATAAAATGTTTTTGATGAAAATGCGATGAACGTTTTGGGTCACAAACCCGCATAGCTCACGAGATATTATTGTCTTACGTATCTCCTTTTTAATGTCAGGTATCTCAACTTACACTTAAGGGGAGAGGATGATAGATGGAAGTTAGAAGTCAAGTGATAGAGAATGGAGTTGAACTTGTTAACTTCATTGTTAATTGTATTGATGTAATTCTTATTTGCTTGCTATGGTTGTACTGATGTTTAATAGTGTAACATCCGGATTCCCAGGTATCTTATTTTAATTATTTATTTTGGGTTTTATGGAGGGACTCGGCGAGTTGACGCTCAGACTCGCCGAGTAGGATCATGAATTCTTGTTTGGATTAATGATCGGACTCGACGAGTCGATGCGTGGACTCAGCGAGTCCGCGCTGTAAAGTGAAACCCTAAATCTCAGGGCCTAAGCCCTATTTAAAGGCCCTTATGGCCGTCATTTGTGACCATTACTCCCATGAGAAAACCCTAGAGAGCAAAGAGAGCTTAGAGTGCATTTTGGAGGCTATTTCTTCATCCTTTGGTGTAACCTTGCAAGGAGTGAGAAAATCTAAGCTAGATTGATTGTGGAGCTTGGATATGTGTTGTTCACACTGAGATTCACATTTTGAGGTACAAGTTCCTTCCCATTTTGTGTATTTGATAGATTCCTTGAATCTAGGGTTTCCTCTGCACCATTTTGAGTTAAATTGTGAAGCATATGATGTCCCTTTGGGTGTAGATGATAGATCTGGACCTTAAGAGGTCCAAAAGGTCCCAAGCTTCAAGCTTTATGAGGTTTCATGTGATCCTTGAGAGTAGAACCCCATTTTAAAGGTTATTTCTCCATTTTTGGTCTTATAAGCATTGCATGAACATAAAGTTTGAACCTTTACTAGTTGGAGTAGCAGATCTGACCTCAAAAGATCGTTTGAGTGTTTTCATGGGAGGAACTCGCCGAGTCCATAAGGGGACTCGACGAGTCGAGTCGGGTTGCCCCGCGATTCGAGACCTGTGATAACCCGTTGAGTGTAAGGTTGACTCGGCGAGTCGAGTGAGGACCAGGGGCGAAGAGGACATGCATGGACTCACCGAGTCACACGAGTGCACTCAACAAGTCTAGTCAAAGTTTGGTCGTTGACTTTTGTTTACTTTTAGGGTTTGGTCAATAATTGGACTTGTGGACCATTTGAAGGGTAAAATGGTCTTTTAGCCTTCTTAGAGGACATGGAAGAGACTAGTCTAGCCTAGAGACCCGTTATTGATTTGAGATAATTGTTTATGTGTTTAGGCGGAGGCTAGATCAGTGTATACGTGTGCGAGATTATCCGAGATATCCGAGGTAAGTCTTCTCACTATACATTACCTAGAGTGGTATCTATGTGTAGACCGGAGGGTCCAACGATATAGACCGGATCGAAGGGTCCAACGAGCTATGACCGGACCAGAGGGTCCAACGAGCTATGGGACTGGAGGATCCCGCTGAGACACATTGATCGGAGGGTCGTACTGTGGACTTGAGTGGCATATGTGTTGTATGTGGTATTTTGGGGAACTCACTAAACATTTATGTTTACAGTTGTTGTGTTATGTGTTTTAGGTTCTAGTGATGATTGCGGGAACGCGCCGACATGATCCGTACACACTCATGGAGTTTATGTTTTGAGATTCTGGGATATGTTTTGTGATGATAACAAATGATAAATTATGTTTTGACATTATTTTATGAGTAAATGTCTGTTTAAAAAAATGAAAAATTGTTTTAAAATTTTACATTGTTACAAATAGTAACATGAAATGTTTTAAATTTGTAAATGTTTTTGTGAGACTGACTTTTGTTAAATGTGGGTTAACACTCGAATACTTTTAAAAACATAACATTTTAAAGATGTGGGTTAACACTCGAATACTTTTAAAAACATAACATTTTAAAGTTAGAAAAAAAAACAATAATAACTTGGGGTGTTACAATGTTCACTTATTTCTTTACTTATCTAAATGAGCATGAATAAGCTATTGTTCATGTTTTTGAACCATTTGCAATCTCTTTTATATTGCAAAGAAGCATTATTCACTTATACCACCAACCTATATCCTAAAGCAACCGGGTGACAAGAGATTAACAACTCCACTACCCAATAGGAATATTAGAGAGAAAGAAAAAAAAATGGATAAAGACATTTACGTCATAAAGTAACATCCTCCAAAGCCACATGCACATTAACATATGAAGGGGGTACTTTATAACATCCTTCAAGGCCACATGCACATAACATATGAAGGGGGTACTATACGATAATGTTACATCAACATAAAAGCGTTAACACCATACGTATAGCCTAACATGTGATATCTAATATCAACTCTTGTGTCATTTAAACCAACAATAACCCCATCCAAATCCAATTCAATACTTAATAGATTCAAATAAATCAATAACGCTTATCATAATGAAACCAAACTTTTATCAATCAAAGCCGTCACATCAACAATAATAAACCATACAAAAAATTTCCCAACCCCACAAACTGGATTACATTGTCATCAAGAAAAAAAAAAACACAAATTAAAAAAAAAAAAAATCAAACAAAACCCAATCCACATCACACAATTTTGAACATATACATCCAAATGACACCTAAACACAACCACCCCATGAAAGCAAGTCTTGCCTTTTCTAATCAAGAAAACAGCCCAAATGCATGTGAACATGCTCTCAAATTCCATGAAAAAGGAACCTTCATTTGGTCTCAAATGTGCTGTCTTTTCATCCAATTAACTCTAATTTAATCCTTACACTTATACATAATCCAAAACTAATTAACAACTAATCCAATCATTACTTCTAAAAGCTTAAAGCCTTTAAAATCCACATGAAAAAAAAAGACATTCTTTTTACAAATTATTTCAAACCATCCAAGTTTTCAACAAAATCAATAAAAACATACCATGGTTTTTATGAGTTATTATAGATTCAATTAAACAAATCCAATGTATTTTTATGAAACCAATAATCTTTTTGCAATCATAAGGGAACTTAGGATGGTTGAAAATTTGGTTATTTTTTCTTGCCACTAGAGAAGAAAGATCCGAATCCCAAATTCAGAACCGGGTTGACCCGGACTCCATTACTGGAGTTACTATTGTTCCCATAGCTATAACTCGTTTTCCTCAATGGAGGTTTCTGAGAATTATGAGGGTGTTTATGAGTAGAACCTTCTTTTGAAGACGATGATCGTTTTGTACTTGTTGATGATCCGGCGGAATTGCTCCGAGATAACAATGGAATCGGGCATAAACTCCGAGCATATCCATTGCCACAGCTACTGCTTCTCTTAAATCCCCAAAACGATTTCGATGAATTATGTTGTTCCTCTTCCACCGCCGGCAGCGGGTTGTAGTTTGAAGCTGGTGATTGTGGTGGTAATGATGATGGTGGTGGTGGTGGGTGGTGTTTGATTTGGGTTGGGATGATTTTTCCGTTGGAGAAAAGCTCGTCGGCCATGGAAGCGTGGGGATTGTTGGGATTTTGTTGAACGCAGAAATTGAAATCGACGGTGGAGGAGGAGGAGGAGAATGATCGGAGAAGTTGTTCGACGGGGACTGTGTCGGATTGGGAGAGATCATGAGAGAATGAAATTCGAGGGCTCATTGTCATGTTGCCACAACCACCGGTGCCGGAATTTTCAGAGAAGAGTTCTATCGCCATTTTTGAAAGATTCGAAGAGAAATGGTGAGAGCATGTTGAGGCATTGAAACGAGTTTGATAAATTAGGAAAAAGGAGAGGGTTACTTTTTGGGATTATGAAAATTGAAGGTTAAATTTGTAAATTGAAGTACTGGAATTCCAAACTCACTTAACTTTAGTACCATGGTAGTATGGTACGAGTTGAAATAATAATAAAAAAATTAAATATCAGCAAAAGTTCGGTAGAAACTGGACAATATTACGCAATCGGTTATGTTGTTTTCCAAAACATGCAAATAAAGTATACAATTAAGACAAAATAAAAATAATGTGTTTCCCAAAATTATATGGTTTTAATGTAAAATTTTTGATGAATCAATGGTTCAAAATTGAATTTTTTTATTGGTTTTGGTTTTTATCCACCTAAAAAAGACGATTGTATCATTTATATTTGTTTTTTTTATATTCATTTAATAGTTTTAACTCTCTCTCTCTCTCTCTCTCTCTCTCTCTCTCTCTCTCTCTCTCTTCTCTCTCTCTCTCTCTCTCTCTCTCTGTGTGTGGTACTTCTCATCTCCTACACCCTCTCACCCTTCTTTCTCTCTCTCTCTCTCAAGAAAACATACACTCAAGAACACCTCGACTGCAACCACCAGACGCCACCCATCTGTTCGTACATCAGGGAAGGAACACCAGCGACGTTGTTCTGCAGCATAGCTCCGATGGAAGGAAGGGATAGTGGTGGTAACAGAGAAGTTGACAAGGTCGTATATCATCATCGATGATAGAGGAAAACAATGGCGAGTGGTGCAATAGTGATTCGTCGGGTGGTAGAGTAGATCAGAGTAGAAATGTGAGGGAGATGAAGGTTTTGTGTTCATTTCCAAAATCTAGGTTTTTTTAGAAAAAAAAAAAAAAGACAAAAGAAAAGGGAGAAGACAAATAAGATGAAGAAAAAGAGACAACGTCAATTGATGCGAAAATAATTATACACTAGTTTTAACCTACTAATGTAACTAATTATTACTCCTAAGGTAGTGTATCTAGTTGAAAATAGCATAACACAAGTAGTCATGTATCTAGTTGAAAATAGCATAACACAAAATCTAGGTTTTTTTAGAAAAAAAAAAAAAGACAAAAGAAAAGGGAGAAGACAAATAAGATGAAGAAAAAGAGACAACGTCAATTGATGCGAAAATAATTATACACTAGTTTTAACCTACTAATGTAACTAATTATTACTCCTAAGGTAGTGTATCTAGTTGAAAATAGCATAACACAAGTAGTCATGTATCGAGCACAAGGAGCAGAATGATTAGCTAATTTTATCTACTAATTACTTAAATTACTATTAAATAAAGGATATGGGTTTCCACTAGTTTTGCAATACTAAAAACTTAATTAATCAAACTAACCTAACTATCAACTAATAAAACAAAAACTAAAATTAAAAGCAATAAATACAAAAGACGATTTTAGCCAAGATAATTGATAGACTTTCGCTTAGCTTCGATATACTTGCTATTATGGTTTATTTTATGGAAGTGCAATGGATTAATGCTTTGTTGGTTACCGATTCCTAAGGTGACTAGGTTAATGTTCACTAACCTAATCCTTTAGCAACTAAGTTCATTTATTCAGTGATCAAACGAATAAACTAACAAATTTACTAGTGTTTGGTTCGAGTTAAATTAGACTTATAATGAATTGATCAGTTTGGTTCATTAAATCAATTCAATATATGATTAGTCATCATATATTAACTCCTACATTTACTTACCAACTTTTCTATTTAACCCTAGATTTTAGTCAAAACATTAGTCTTACAATTTTGCAATTCACAAAGATCATAAGATTCAAGTTCAATCAAGAGTGATGTTCATGTAAACTTAATTAAACTAAAAAATAAACAGAAAAGTAGTTCTTATAAACATATAGAGGTTCTTTAATAAGCTAAAGTAACAAATAACCAACTAAGCTTAATCCTAACTATAAATCAAACCATAAAAAGAAAAGTAATCTAATCTAAACGAAAGTCATAGGTTTTTAGCCCATGATTACAGCAAGTTAACACATAAACATGAAGTTCAACTTGATATTCATGCTTAAACACAAGATCGACCTGGTGCCGGGTGCGACCTCTGTCACTAAGGCCCCATACCGACTGGCACCACCAGAGATGCAATAGCTGTCATCACAGTTGCAAGAGTTGCTAGGGAAGCAGTTCATTCGCCTGAGCAGTTCTCCATGGGGAGCCCCGATACTCTTTGTAAAGAAGAAAGATGGATCTCATCGGATGTGCATAGACTATAGGGAGTTGAACAAGTTAACAGTGAAGAACCGTTACCCACTCCCAAGGATAGACGACCTGTTTGATCAGTTGTGGGGGGCATCTTGGTTTTCCAAGATCGATTTGAGGTCCCGGGTACCATCAGGTTAGAGTACGGGAGGAGGATGTGGAAAAGACGGTGTTCAGAACTAGATATGGGCATTACGAGTTTGTGATGATGCCATTTGGGCTCACCAATGCGCCAACCATTTTCATGGACCTGATGAATCGAGTTTGTAGACCGATGCTGGATCGCTCGGTCATAGTGTTCATTGATGACATCTTGGTATATTCCAAGACCCGAGAGCAACACGAGAAGCATTTATGAGAGTTATTGGGGGTTCTTAGGAAAGAACGACTTTATACTAAGTTCTCAAAGTGTGAGTTTTGGTTACAAGAGGTTCAGTTCCTAGGGCATCTCGTTAACCAGAATGGGATTCTGGTAGATCCAGCCCAAGATCGAGGCTGTTATGCGATGGGAGGTCCCGAGATCCCCCTCAGACATCAGGAGCTTTTTGGGTTTGGCATGGTACTACCGGAGATTCATTCAGGATTTCTCTAAGATTGCAGTACCCCTCACTTGTTTGACGAGGAAGGGGGTGGATTTCCGGTGGGGCCCCTAGCAGCAAAGGGCATTTGAGACTCTCATGCAACGGTTGTGTGAAGCCCCAGTTGGGTGGAGGATTTTGTGGTGTACGGTGATGCATCCATCAAGGGATTGGGAGCGGTTCTCATGCAAAGGGGTAGAGTTATCGCCTACGCATTGCGGCAGTTGAAGTCACACGAGTCGAGATACCCCACACATGATCTGGAATTGGGAGGGGTGGTGTTCGCTCTCAAGATTTGGAGACACTACCTCTATAGGGTCCGTTGTACCATCTACACAGACCACAAGAGCTTGAGGTACATCATGGATCAGCCGAACCTGAATATGCGGCAGTACAGGTGGCTGGATGTAGTCAAGGATTACGACTGTGAGATCCTTTACCATCCTGGTAAAGCGAATGTGGTTGCAGACGCCTTGAGCCTCAAGGCGGTCGGACCATCTGTCCCAGTATAATGCATGAAGATATCAGTAGATTCCACACTCGTGAGCTTGCTCCAAGGAGCACAGTCGGAGGGTATGCGGAGAGAGAACTGGAAACTAGAGAGGATAAAGGGTGAAAACACCTGATTTGAGCAGGATAGTTGGGGATTGATGACCCGTTATGGCCGGGTATGGGTTCCGATGACTGGTGGAGTCAAGCAGAATATATTGAAGGAGACTCATAAGTCTCGGTTCTCCATTCACTCGGGAGCAACCAAGATGTACCAGGATTTACGTTTGAGCTATTGGTGGCCGTGCATGAAGCGAGAAATCGCTGAGTACGTAGAGAGATGCCTGACCTGCAGGATGGTCAAGGCGAAGCATCAGAGGCCCCACGGGAAGTTGCTGCCTCTTGAGGTTCCTATGTGGAAATGGGAGCAGATCGCGATGGATTTCATCACCAAGCTGCCGAGGACAACAAGGGGTTTCGACACTATATGGGTCATCGTAGACTGATTGACCAAGAGTGCTCACTTTCTCGCCTTTCGGGAGGGATCCTCAACCGAGAAGTTAGCTGAGATATACGTTCGTGAGATTGTCGCGCGACATGGAGTTCCGGTCTCTATTTTCTCGAACCGTGATGTTCGCTTCACCTCTCGATTTTGGCAGAAGTTCCACGAGGAACTGGGCACACAACTGCATCTCAGTACATCTTATTATCCGCATACAGACGGCCAGAGTGAGCGGACCATACAGACACTTGAGGACATGCTGAGGGCATGTGTTATCGATTTTCGTGGGAGCTGGGACTCCTACCTACCTCTCGCGGAATTCTCATACAATAACAGCTTTCATTCCAGTATAGGTGCCCCGCCTTATGAACTCTTGTACGGGAGGAGATGTCGCACCCCGGTCTGTTGGGGTGAAGTGGGTCATAAGGTTATGGGTCGGACCGAGGTAGTTCTACAAACTACCGAGAGGATTCAACAGATCAGATAGAGACTTCATACTGCTCAGAGTCGGCAAAAGAGTTACGCTGACCGACATCGATCGGAGCTGGAATTCCAGGTAGGAGACATGGTGCTCCTGAAGGTCTCACCCTGGAAGGGTGTGATCCGTTTCAGGAAGATGGGAAAACTGGGTCCCCGATTTATTGGACCCTTTCGGGTGTTAGCTAGAGTTGGCAAGGTAGCCTATAGGCTGGACCTTCCGGGAGAGCTCAGTCAGATACACAACACTTTTCACGTTTCCCAGTTGCGGAAGTGCATTTTAGATGAGGATGCAGTGGTATCTCTGGATGATGTTCAGGTTTACGAGCACCTGAACTACGTAGAGCATCCAGTGGCTATTTTGGAAAGGAAAACGATAATTTTGCGTAGTAAGGAAATACCGCTGGTGAAGGTGCAGTGGAGGCACCGTAAGGGATCCGAGTGGACTTGGGAACCAGAGTCTGAGATGAGGGACCACTACCCAGATCTTTCCACAACATCCGACTTCGGGGACGAAGTCTAGATCAAGTGGGGGAGAGTTGTAACGCGCCGAACCGAGCAGGTATATTTAGAATCCCGCCTTCTTTTGATTATTTTCTTTTATAGCCCTCGGAGAAGTTATGTTGAGTCCTAAGAAGTGTAGGGACCTAAAGTTAAAACTTTGGTCCAAAGGGGG